CTACCACTTCTACTACCACTACTACCACTCCCACTACTTTGTACTACTACCACAACTACTACTGCTACGACTACTACTACAGTAGTATACAGTAGTAGTACTTCTGCGGCTACTACTACTACTACTACTACTACTACTGCAGTGGAAAAAAGTAGTACTCCTCCTCCTGCTGCTACTGCTGGCGCTAGCTAGGGCTACTGCTACTGCTACACAAACTACTGCTACTACTACCACCACTACGACCGAAAATTCAATACTATCCCTGCTGTTGCAAGTGCTACTGTAGTGACTCTCCAACGCAAACGGAGCCAAATGTTGACACTACGTATAACTAGCCGACACCCCAACAATGGATTTTCCCAAATCTTAGGCACAGGTTCATACCCCACAGTTCAAGGGGGGCAAACAAGAACGGATGTGACATTGTTGGCTCAATATCACGTGTAGCATGCCGCATGCGAGTGTTGAAGTGCGTGCATTTATAGATACACCACCCCGTTGTGGATCAGCAGCCCCACGTGTGTTAATCGATGCAAAGTAGTCGTACATTCGTGTCGGAGGAGCAATGGGGGACATGTAGAACCCAGAATTCCGTGATCCCGGTCCCGCATCGGGAGCAGTGACGATGGCAGGCCAATTCTCGGGGGTGACATACTAGCAAATCTGGACATGCATGTCTGTGTGTATGTATGTATGCATCTATGCGCCTGCAGGTGTGTATATACATATGTATGTATATATCGCTCTTTCTCTTTCCCTCTGTCTTTCTCTTCAGAGATCGATAGAGCTCGAGAGAGGTGCTCCGAACAAGGCTTAATTGTCATGGAAGGGGAAGTGACAAGTCATGAGCTGCCAAGACCAATCTCGACTGCAAACATCGTGAACTTGAATGACGGTCCGAAACGAGCGGAGGCGAAATGGTGCAGCACGCCTGAGCATGGCGCACTAGTGGCCGCTTGCATGGCGCGAAGCGGTAAGCTAAGTTGTTGCCACCATCTTCCCAACATGGGATCATCACCACCACCACCACCAGGATGCAATCACCCAAATTAAGTTGGCCAGCTTCATATACGCCTCTGTGGTCTGGGTTTAGAGACGGCTCCTGCGCTGGAATATGAGCCCTAAACTCTCGAATTGCTAATCAACAGGGCCCTCGCCCCTCGTTCAAGCCCGAATCGAAGCTCCAACCTCAAAAACTCCTCCCCAACCTCTCAAGCCCAAAACCCTCATGTCGACAAACTCCCAGGCCTCTCCTTCAACAGACTGCGACTAAGAACAAACGTATACATATAGAAACCGCCCCAGTCAAGACCCTAAACCCTGACACCTCGAAGTCTAGTGGAAGCCAGGAAGCCAGGTCCAAAAGCTCTAGCACCAATTCCGACAGCATCCCGGAAAGGAAGAGGACCTGAGACTTATGGATGGGGGCTCAGCAACGCTTAGCCATCCTTGAGCTTGTAGCGTTCACCTCTTGCGAGAGGTTTGTGCAGACTTTGACAAAGCAGTCCTCATGATGAACAACAATTTGCTTTTCTCATTTGACAGAGCCCGATTGCCGTTGCGAGGTCCTTGCTCTCGTGAAGATGTGCTCTGTCCGGTTTCGCCATGGAAGAACGAGGATGTCGAGTCTAGGGCCCCGCAACATTCTGCACGGGCTTCCGCAGCCAAGCAGCACCCTTGTCGCAAAGCGACGTTCGGCGCAGCGTCAGTCGGCGAATCGGGCTCCTGCCAGCAAGGGGTGCCAAATTTGCTTCTCGCTTTAACCCGTTCGCCTATCTCGTTCCTCTGGTAGAGCGAGTTCCGATCAACAAAACCACTGCCACCTATGACCAAGGGTAGTGTTGCACAAACGAGCTTTAGCTCATACATACACATACATATACATACATATACATACATACATACTTAAATGTTTACATATATGTATATATACATGTGTGTGTTATGAATCGCATGTCCGTGTGTGTATACATATACATATATATGCATGCATTTAAACTCACATCTATATTTATATGCACACGACCGGATTACGCAACGAACTCGATTCTATGGGTGCTGCTTCAGCATTCGACAGAGGAGCGCATTTCGCTGGAGATTGCCTGCTGGCACACACGGACTTGCACTTAACACCTTAAGATGTACCTCACATCCGAATCTTCCCTAACTCTTTTGCATCCAGGCCTCTGTGCAGTCTTGCAGGGAAGGCGAATTAGGCAGCACTCGTGGCTTAGCCCTCAAACACAAAGCCTCAACATCGAGCCCGACCTTGGAAGTTTGGCAAAAAGAGTCGCCAGCGAGGACGAAGTAAGCCGACTGTTGCCAGAAAGGTTCCTGAGGTTAGATCAGAGCAGAGGTTTACGGCTGAAACTATGTATGAAACTCTCTATCACCCCCTCTCCTCCCTCTCCCTGTCTCTGGCATGCATGCATGTCTGCGAATGCAAGTGTGTGGGTGTGTGCTTGCATGTACATGTACGTGTACGCATGTGTGGTAACAGAATATGTGCAAGTACGCATGCATGCGCAAGCGCGTTGTCATGAATGTATGCATGCATGCCTGTATGTCACGTCTGTGTGCGTATGCATGTGCAGGTGCATGATATCCGATGAAAAATGTATGCATGTATGCCTGCGCCTGTCTGTGCTTAAAAACGTGCGTGTGTGTATGTATGTATGTATGTATGTATGTATGTATGTATGTATGCTCGCACAGGAGCTTGTACAGAGAAGGTGTCTGTAGGTAGGTGATCGTTATGTATGCATACTACAAAACATGTGTATGTATGGGCGCATGTATGTATCTCTGTGTGTGCATGTATGCTGATTCGTCTGTCTGTATGCATGTCTGTATGATCTGTATGTTTGTACGTCTGTGGGTAGGTATGTATGTATGCATGTATGCATGCCTCTATGTGTGTATGTACGCACGATGTATGCATGTTGGATTGTTCTAATGTGCACCTGCACACATGTATGTATGCATGTGTCTATCTATCTGTTTGTCTGTTTTGAACCCGTGCTGAGCCAAGGCTTGCCTGTAATAGTTTAAACTATATACATAATACATGTATGTATGCACACACAATTACATACATATTATATACATATGTGTGTGTGCTTATACACAAATGTTTATTATATATTTATATATGCACACACCAACAAAGACACTCCCACACACACAAACACACACACACACACACACACACACACACACGCACACACGCACACACACACACACACACACACCACAACACCTGTTTCAACAGGCGGCGTTGGGTCGGAGAGATGTCTGAATCCAAGCGAGCAGCAAATCGAGGAGTCGGCAGCCGGGTGCTCCGACTATTTCGCAGAGCTGCTGGATGCTTTTATCCTTGGGCGGGAACGGACGAAGAGCAAGGATGAGGGGTTTACGGGTTTGTAGTTTTGGGCTCAGGGTTCACGCAAAACAAATCTGAAGCAGAACATCAATGCACCCAAAAGTCTCCAACTCTGGATGGACACTACCCAGACGAAGCAATTAAGAGCTGAACAGCAGGAAGCCACGAGGACTGCTGTTGCGGCTCTTGCAAGCTTCTTGCAGCGGCTACATCATCACCCAAACACAGCCATACACAAACTCGGCCCGCAAGGACAGACTTGCCTAGCTAGTCCGTCCTCCACTCCTATATCAGCCAGCTTCTAATCCAACAACAGATCAAGTTCCGGGGCTTTCCGAGGGTCCAACTAGCCAAGAGCGCGGTTCTTGGGTCTGTTGCGCGAGCAACTGTAGGCTGGTATCTTCGGAATCTAGGGAAGCATGAAGGATTCGGAGCCTGATACGTGTTCCTGGGATCCGCAAGAAAGCGGACCACTCCAAAGCAGCTCGGCGTCATTCAAGAGATTCTCGGAGAGGTCCAGCGCCTCCAGGAAACATAAGCCAGGCTTAGGGTTACGCACGTTGCTAAGGCTATTGCTGCTGCAGCCATGCCTGCCGTGCTCTTTCCTGCTATCCCATCAGTACTGCCATCGTTCTTCCTATGATCCTTCTCAACATAGCGAGGGCCAGTGTGCTCCCAATCATGGATAATTCAATAATAGCTCTGGTCAGCAAGAGGGGTGGAAACAGGCCTCAAACCTTCAGTTGGCCTGAATAATGACTCGCAGGCACTTGTACGTGTTCGCGGAATGGTACGTCTCACAATCAGGTTGCCGGCTGCTCCCGGATGTTGGTCTCACATGGTGTTCAAAACATGAGGTAGCAAAACCTCTTATTAGAGGATTGTCGCGACAGCTTCTGCCCTTTCTAGGCATCTGTGTGCTTCCCCTGAGATTCAGCCCTGAAACCCAAGTCCTACGTCTGAAACTAACAAATGCCCTTTTGAACTAACGCCTTAACATTCGCGACCACCCGTTTCAATCAGGGCTCTTCCTTCTGCTGGGTGCTATCTGCTATACCATGCTGAACCATGAAGCCTCCACGCAGCCACGTGCGACTGCATCACAGAGGCGGTCGATGTCTTTGCAGCGATTGCCCCGCAGGCCCAAGCCTTGGGGGGACTCTTGCCGATCTTCCAAATCTCCAAAGAGGGCAACGCTCGCTGTCCATCAGATTCTCGGGACTGAGAGCCCCGACTTTGAGGTGTCACGGCATTTGACATGAAGGTTTGGGAATCGGAGAGGAAAACTACCTGAATCACAGTGGACAGGCGACTGACCGTGGGGAGAAGGGGGTTTCGCTCAAGCAACTTCCTCACCGATGCTTTGAACACCTCCAACTTCCTGTGGAAATGCGCGCAGGAAGTCCATCAAGGCGACAGAATCAGCTCGGCAGAGCCCCAAAAAAACAATCTGCGGTAATGGAGTATGGTAGTCCTTAAACCCGGAAGACTGAATCTCAGAGTCGGCCCTAAGCCCCTAAACCTAAAGCCCCTAACCCGTTTGCAGGTCAAAGCCCTACACGCTAGTACAGCAGCCGCTAGCAGGAGTGGTGGTGGTGGTGGTGGTGGTAGTAGTAGTAGTAGTAGTCCTAGTCGTAGTAGTATAGTAGTAATAGTAGTAGTAGTAGTAGTAGTAGTAGTAGTAGTAGTAGTAGATAGTAGTTATAGACGGAGAGCACTGCAGGACGGTCTCGACAACTTTCCACTCTTCACTCAGTTCGAAACAAGTGCAA